GCTGTCCACATATGCTGATTAGCCCACAAATTACAGTTAGCGAAAGGCAATGGTGCTGGATATTCTACCGTTGTGATGTACCCCAAGCCATTAGTTAATTCGAAAGAATCACTATAGATAGGTGCAAATACATGTCACTGTCATGATTGTATACCAGTTCGCTGAACATAAGTTATCATTCTTGTGGAGTACTCAGCATTTTGCATAGAGGTTATCTTATTGTTACAAGAGCGTATAAGATAGAAAGCAATGAGGACAATGGGGTTTGAAGAGAAATGAATACGGGTGATTTCTTGTCTCTCTACTTTGTCGATGTCAATTTTTGACGTCTCCAATGTGTCGCCTGCAATGGTTTAACAAGTCTACAAGACGTTCTTCACATGAAGTAGTCATCCCCAGCAGGTTATGCTGGACATCAGAGTGGAGAGGCCATCCATGACAAGTGCCTGATTAAGTGGGTGACTGTGAAATAGGATTAATGTATTACTCGCATACACCTTCCTTTTGAGGTGTTGCATTTAAATCTGTAACGGGGAGCGTTAGAGAACTTTTAGTAAAAAATTATCATTTCACGAGTGGCATAACTGAACTCCTGTCGAATCATACGCAATAGACCCTGACTCTTGGATTTCAGCAACAAGTAAATCTGTCTCGAATCTCTAAATAGGCTATAAAAGAGAGAAGAGACTATTGGGATGCGTATGTTTCTGAAAGTTTGGATAGTTATATTAAGTAACAAACCAAATTCAGTGTCGACCGTGTTTATCAAGAATGTTGGGTGTGCGTCCTTCTCGATTAGTGGTAGGCTTCGCTGTGTTGCTTACCACTGACTTTTCGGACCCGTGGTTCCATAAACAGTACTTATTGAGACAATTCGTGATGGTGTCTTTTGTCGGCAGGCTTAATAATTTTGTTGCTCAAATTTTGGTTTTATCCGGAAGGCGAAGTGGGACACCGTGAACTTCACTGTAGATATGGTGCTAGATGTCATAGTGCTTTCTATGATCTTTGGTGTTTTCCGCTTTCAGATTCATATCACTGATTCGAATGACAGTATAAACAACAATATTACTTGTATGCTGTACCTACGATGCTATTTTGGCCTCTCTTTAGAGTACTAACGAACACTATAAGCCTTTAGATTTCTGAAAAAATTGACGACAAGCTTACGAGTTTAACAATTTGTACCGGTTGAAATACGTTCGGCACTTCTATCAGATGTGTAAAGACTGTTACATACGTACTAGACTGCATGTCTACTGATATAACATTGAATCTGTAACATCCGAATGCTGGTTTTGAAATGACATATGTTTAAGAAATATTCCTGTTTGGAATGCCTATATCCCTTGTTTCATCCTTACAGTTTGTATGCATTTGAATCGGTTTATTCGCGCTCTTTCTCCGCGCATGGGTCATATTTTGTATATACCGCTATTCATCTGATTGGCTCCTGCCTCTTTAAGTGTACCAAATATTTCTTGTCTTTCAGGGTTACTGTAAACTCTATAAATAGGGTCCGTTTTCACTCCAAAATACTATGAACTCATCTGATTTCTCTTTGCGAATCACTCGGGTTGAATCGTCTCAACCCTCGACTATCAGTCGTTAAGTATTTTTGTTCGTTCCCACAACACATCATAGCAACTTCTGTATAACACAAGATTGGAGAGTCTCACGTTTTGACTTTCGAATGGAATTACACTCTTATCAGCCAAAACGAGGGAAGCTGACACTTTACTTGATTAGCAGGAATTTATAGGAACTCACTAGGTTTGGTGTAATCCAGCGTACTATGTCCTCCACTTTTCATCCTTTCTGTTAATAACCTCTATATCCGTTTACCACATTATAAGCCGTTTCTGTTCACTGACGAAATTAAGATTGCATGCATATGGCTCTACGTTGACGTACCCCACTTCGGAAGACTGGGACAGGAAAGTGCGCTTGGCAACTGATCTATTCAATATCTGTGGGCTGCGGTCCAAACTAGACAAGTGTGGTTAGATATACTTCGGACCTCCCTCTGTTAGTATGCAGTTTTGTCGTAACAAGACTCACTGTTCGAGATCAACACTCGTGTCAGGCGGTTTGTTTACAATTTTCATAATTGGTGCTTTCGAAAAAAATATTTGTCTTATTGTTCATTAACGGATACTCGATTTCATTGCAATTTAACATTTACTTCGAAATTGTTATCATATCTAAATAATTATAGCACTTCATGTGCTACCCGCCTGTTCAGCATGTTTCTGAGGCAGAACTAAGGGCTTTTGTTGACATAATGTATTTTTGGGGGCATATCACTATGTTCTTACACAGCGAATGGTAAATCATATACTACTTTTGTTCTATATTTGACTCTCATATACGTTTACTTTTGGTGGCCACCAACAGACGATGTTTAGCATAAGGATGCAAATCTATCAGTTTTATCACGAAAGACCAAAGGATCCGATGAGGTGATCCCAGTAGGAGACTTCAATGTATGTGTAGGGGAGCTGCGTCAAACATTGTGGAATCTAAGACGAATATCTAGAATCCTATAACGGTGGATGAGAAAACATAGAACTGCAGGTCACCGAAACCAAGTCAATAAGGGAGACGTACAGACTAAGAAGCTACTGAAGACCATCTTCGGATAGGATTAGTGCAGAAATACCTTTCTTGAAGTATATATTTGAATCTCAATCATATATTGATACAGACACGCATGCTCGTGCTCAACTGGGTCAGAAAGCATAGTTCTTGTCGGAATTTGGGCAGGCAATTCTAATATGAATGTACATTAAGGTGGAAGCGAGGCATTTATCTCAAAATAACAGGGAATTTCATTCTAGATTAACAATAGTGACAATGACAATACTGAAGATCAGATGGTTAGAATAATAAGAATAAACAACAAGGAACTCACTCTGGTCTAACAACGAACCAACCAAGAACCCATCGACCAACAAATATGCAGTAGAAGAAAGTGGAGATGGATTGGACTGGACATACACTAAGAAGACTATTCGGGGACATCACGTGTCAGGCCAGACCAGGACGTAGAGTGGAACCCAAATGGGAAACGACGAGTTGGACGTCCGAGGTGAGGGTGACATGGAGGAGATTGTGTGAGGAAGAAATGAAAGCTTGTGGGTAGTGGTGGAGCCAGGTTGAGGAGAAGAGAGAGAGAGAGAAGAGAGTGAAACTTAGACATGCAACTGAAGCTCTATGTTCCACTAAGAACCCAAAGGACCGATTTGCAAAAGTAATAATGATATGAACCAACTCAGATATTCAAAATATGTATTTCATATACAAGTTTGCTGTCTATCTGGACCCTAAATGTTATCTGAAATAGAATACGGCTAGAAGGAAGGTTAAGGGTAGATAGATAATGGCTTAACATTATCGTACTGATTTGCTGAAGATTTATGGACAAATGTGTACATAGTGTCAGTGAAATGGTTAAAAACAGGTTAGAATAGAGATGGATTCACTCTTTAGCATGATCAAAAGTTTGGGAAATCTATCAGTCTTCATCTATTTATCCTATTAGTTCTAGTATCCCCATTGTCAATTTCAATAATTCTGTTTCTATGGTGTTTAGTCGACTTAACTGGTAGATTTTTGTGTCAGGTTCTAGGTTAAACTGTCAACTAAAGAATGATTGTAGTCTTCATTATTTGTAGTGTGCACCTATCTTAGCATGCTAATGAAAGCTTTCTGAAAACTCAAATGTACCGTGCGATCAAGTGAACTTTCATGGAGTAGGCAATGAGCCGCATCTAACCACCCCCACCTTGGAAGGTGGAGCTAGGTTGGAACCCATGACCCACCGATTGAAAGTTGACTAGCTAAACTAATGAGCTACAACTGAGCTCTTAAGGACAGATTTTCACAAACCCAAACTCTTAGTATCATCTGCATAGGGAGGTTAACTAGTATCGATTACTTAAGACTAAACAGGATTTTAGAATACACAGCAAAAGCTTAAGATATTGTGTTCACCTCGTAGTAGCCTATATACAGTTAAGAAATGTCTAATAATAATAATCTTGGAACTGTTTGTCAAGGACTAGACTGTCTAAAAACTTTCATAAATATTGCATCATGTTAATCATAGCATAAATCAAATAACAAAATGTCTTGACAACAAATAAAATAGGACTAAAATATTAAATACTTTTGGATAATGATGTACATTCAACAATTTGAATATTTCACCAAATATGAGCTGTATATTTAAACATAACATATTCAAAGGAGAAAGGTATAGTTGTAAGAAGATTGATTATCATATGAACAATAAAGTAAATATGCAAATAAATTTGTCTTCAGTACTAGTGTATTTATACGAAAAGTGAAATCGATGATTTGGAAAAATTTACATATGTAGATAAATAAGAAGACAGAAAAAAGTTTATACTGTTGACAATGAGAGTTAGATGACACAAAAAAAAAACACATAACACAAAACAAAAGGCAGCCTGATTCATCCATTATCTTTCGATTTAGCATAGTTATAATTTCAAGGACAGAAAATATACAATATCTAGATTTAACGAGAAGTGAATGAATGATCAGCTGAAACTATCATCTTAAGAGAGTTTGTTAAACAACGGTCACTGTTTATAATGACAGGGGGAAATGAAAAGACAAAGTTTCAGAGTGTATACACTAATAAAAAGGAAATAATAAACTCTGAAGTTATGAGACAATTTACAAAGGAAATCTTAGAGCTTTTACTTTCAGAGGGTAAAATGAGGTATGATTATGATGAAAGATGGTGAAACCAAACACTGAAACTAAGCACACTTGCTTCTGATATCGCTTCAGAAAAGTTAAAAGCCTGTCATAATTTATATTCCCTACCCTCTACCTGAAAAATCACAGCCTACACTAGAATTAACTGTTGCTATGCTGATAATATTTTTTGTGATAAAAGGCAAACTGGAAGAAATTTGCAGAAATAATATACGAAAAACGGTGAATTGGTGATCGTTGATGATAAATCAAGAACATGAAGGATCATCATTAGCAAGCTAAAAAAAAAAGGAATAAAACGACAACGTATACAGAATAAAAATGAATTTAATGAGCGTAATTCATATCAAATGAAACACACTGTTATATGCATCGGTAGTCAGAATCAAGGGTTAAAAGAATGCGATACAAATAACAGTATGATCGCCTCTATGTGCATCTACCAGTTCACCAGCTTTTATTGAGCAAAGTACATCAGTTGCAACCAGATAATGCTTTCTACACTTGTACGACAGGCATGTTCCAGTTTGGTTATATAAAGGTGAAATAAAGTCTGTTAAAAGTTCTATTTAAGAACATTTGATTCATTTCTATCAGTTAACAAACCCAGATAATGACTTTAAAATTCTTTATCAAATTCTACCAAATCTCCCACGTTTTCAACTACTTAAAATAGTGAAGGGTTTAGCGAGTCATGAACTCAAGCCTGATTTAAGTGCACAAAAGAAGTATGTACAATCACTGTTTTTACCGTGGCCATAACATCTTCCCCACCCCCAAGAGTTCCCCCCCGCTTGTTAAATTAATCTTTGTATCCTTCCTTTATCACTACTTGCAGTTTCCCGTGTTATTTAACTTAACCGTCTTAATGTTTTCATAAAGCAATGATTTTATTTTAACCAACTAGTCCAACCCTATTGTTGCGTAACAATTTTTTGATTTACCATGTTCATCAATTTTACACCTCTATCTGAGTTATATACCTTCTATGAACGGTTACATAATCTACTTTTTTAATTCATACTGCAACCGTTATCACAATCATAAGCAACTATATTATCACTATTATTATTGTAATTATCAAATAGTGTTTGATTTTCCACACCATTTAATTCTAACAAATAAGTACTATTCTGTGAAAGATAGACATTAAAGATTCTTGATGCATCCTAATAATCATGAATAGATGAATAATTGTGTAAGACACAAAATTTCTTTGTTAGAGATCTGGAAATGTTAGATAACTACTCAATTTAGCAACATATAGTAGCTTAGTACATAGTTGATTGCCAAAATCACTAATTATTATCGAAGGAGTCAGTATTTTAGTACTTTAATTCCGCATGTAGGAATTTTGGCAAATAGCAGTATTGATGGCTGAAGGTGAACTGAAAATCTGAGCTACGGCAGGGTTCGAAACATCGACCTCCAAGGTTATGGTTCAGTGCTCTGGCTTGGACCCTGTGGCGGCCTAGATTTTCATTTCACCTTACATCAACACCCACTATCAATACACGTCTTCCAAACAACGGCTACCTTAGAAAGTCAGACTGATAATTGTTACCAGTCTAATTTATGAAGACGTAATTCGCATTATTTTACTCTTCCTTATATCACTATGAATAACACTAATCAGTAGTTGTTTCTGCTTTTACGAAGGCAGATGAATTATTATTATTTGTACCTTGGGTTCTAGGTGGGATATAGGGCTTCAGTAGCACGTCTAAGTTTCACTCTCTTCTCTCTATCTCTCTTCTCCTCAACCTGGCTCCACCACTACCCACAAGCTTTCATTTCTTCCTCACACAATCTCCTCCATGTCACCCTCACCTCGGACGTCCAACTCGTCGTTTCCCATTTGGGTTCCACTCTACGGCCTGGTCTGGCCTGGCATGTGATGTCTCCGAATAGTTTCTTAGTGTATGTCCAGTCCAATCCATCTCCACTTTCTTCTACTGCATATTTGTTGGTCGATGGGTTCTTGGTTGGTTCGTTGTTAGACCAGAGTGAGTTCCTTGTTGTTTATTCTTATTATTCTAACCATCTGATCTTCAGTGAATGTAAGCGGCAGCTGTTCATGTATATCTGCAGTTTGTTGGAAATGCTTTTCGTAACGCGCCAAGTCTCTGAACCACCACATGGAAGCACTGACTTGACTGAATTAGTGTTGAGAATCCGGATGTTGTTCACGCTTTATGCTGAGTGCAGTAGATCTCCACACTGATTTGAGATTAATGAAGTGAGGCTTGTCTTGCTGTTTTTTCGACCCCGGTTTTGACGTCCTCATCTGTGTGTGTGTGTGTGTGTGCCACCTGCAGTTGAAACGATGTTGCCTTGCCCAGGTAGGTAGGTAGGTGAAAGAGAGTACTTCCTTTAGGTTTCTCCTGTTAGTGGTGATTGATGCTTGTTGTTGGCTGTGTATCGTCATCACCTCTGTCTTCTCTATGTTCACTTGAAGTCCCGTCTTCCTTCGCTGCTTCTTCTGTCAACTTGTTGGTTTTTCCTTGTAGATCTTCGAGCTTGTGCTATTCCATGCCCCTTTTCTTACTTTTACTTTCATCGAGAGACGACACATCGGCCAGTGGTCTTCCCGAAGGCTTTCACCAACCGGCGTCATTTCGTCTCTCCGATTCCAGTTTGTAATAAGTTTATTTTTTATATTTTTTTGTGCTCTGAAGTTTCTTTAGTGATTGGATTGGTTTTATGAGGTAGGGTTGCTAGCACAATGCCCAACCTTCCCTTTTTATCCGGGCTTAGGACCGGCTAGTAAACTAGGAAGATGAATACTGATATTTGATGTTCATGGATACATGTACAATGCAAAGTCTCCTAGCTTGGTATTCGCATTACAAAATGATCGACAGAATTCGACTAGCAATTAGGACTAGACAACAAATGTACTAATTAAAAACGTTGTACAAAAAGAAGCGGATATGTCTGTATAGTGAATGCTGAGTACGGCCAACACATATTACCCCACAGGAGCAAGTGAATTGATAAACACACATCGAGGTGGCCAAGGAGCTAGGTAGCTTATTCTATACGCATAATTGAAGCATTGGGTAAGTAGAGAAAGATAAGCTAAGTTTGGCAGCATAGAAAGTCTTTCTAAATGAGCAGCAGATGGTTTCTGAATATATCTGCTGATGTTTACATTGAATTACAAGCTAATGAAAAAAGGCTTCTCAGGAACCGTAGATGAAGAATGATTATTTGCTTTCAGTTTCATCGCTTTACCAATGAGACACTCAGGATACTGATTTTAAATCAAAGCACTTTTTGAGAAAATTAAGTTCATCTTCCAGAGTATTCGGACTGCAGATAGTGTGGATTCTACGCTACACATAGAACTAACATCTTTAGAAGTGCATCGCGATGCTGAGCTGCCTAGTCTAGCAGCCACACTGCAAAATGATTGATGGAATTTGACCAGCATATAGGACTAGACAACATGAAGTTGGTCACCATCCATTGACCAATCAATATGAATCAAATTTTGTTTGGTGTCTAGAGGCCCCCAACTATGAAAATTAGTAGGTTGTCTGTTCCACATGTGTTTTCTGTGAACAGACCTTTTGAGTGATCCATTGTCTAGTCTTTTTTAGCTAAACTATGCGTTTTCTAGCTTTAACATGAAGAAGTCAGCAAGCATAGGGTCTAGTGCTGAACCTATAGATATGTGAACTTTTTGTATGTCTATTTCATTATTGAAAGGAAAGTGGAGGAGAAAGAGAGTACATTGCAGCTCTATTTGGAATATTTAGTCGATTATAACCACCTCGTAAATGTAGAAAACAACTTTAGTGTCATCTATAGAAGAGCATGCAAGCCTGAAACTTCTTCAAACTCCGAAAGCCATAGGAATTAAAAGAAGCGAAAGTTAAAGTTGTCGGTTGTAACAGGCTACGTCGATAACTTATTAACCGTTAACAAGATTATAAATGAACGCATAAAAATGAAGAAAAGCAATACTTACCTTAGAAAATAATGCCATTACTGTATCTTGAATACTTGGTGAATTCGAAAGTTGAAGAGATGGGAAACCAGTTGGTGTGGTTACTGTTTCACTATTTTTCTCGACAGATAATTTATTATTTTGACAAGTTGTCGAATCACTAACACGTCTTTTCGACTCAGATTTGAACATTGAATTTTTATTATTTAAACTTATATTGGTCATATCACCTAAATTGAGAAGTAAATTTTTTACACTAGGACGAAGAGATGATGAACGAACACGTTGTGGCTGACCGGGTACAATGTTACATGGAGGTTTCAAATCCAAATTTGTGATCACATGATTTTTGTCTTCATTGGATTCTAATCCACTCAGACTTAGTCTGTGTGTAAGCGGAGCAGACTGTCTCTAAAGGATCAGAAGTTAATAAAATACAGTATATCATTAACAGTAGTATGAATAACAGTGTATTTAACAGCTTACACCAACTAACGTGAGGAAACAATTCTGTCCACTAGATTAATAAAGCAAACAGATGAGAATACAATCAGTCATTTCTCATCCACTTTTTCATAAAAGATATGAATGAAAATCATGCTTTGTGATAATCACGCAATACTACTGACTGTAGTGGTGTAGTGAGAGCTATTACTAATAAGAACGAATATAAGTAGTATAAATAGCAACGTCAGAAGTGATAATGATCGACTGGTGAGGATTCGAATGAAAAGAATAGACAATATTAGATAGAAATATAAAGAGAAGAGCTACAGAACAAGTGATTATTTCTAAGTGGGAATCATGCTGTAAGTTTTAGTATTTTTACCACCGATGGGTTGTATTTTCTCAATAAACAATACGTGCTGCTCCATCGAACTTCATTTCACTGGTGCGACAGGTTCACAAATTCAAATGTGGTTGTTGAGTTGCTTCTCTCACCGAAGTGCATTGATACTACATGGTTGGGTAGATATCTGGTTACTTTCTAACTTGTGTTCTGATCAGACATGGTAGTACAGACTGCTACATAGTAATATCAGATCTTAAGTTGCTAACATGTCTGTCAGAAGGTTTTCTTATAGTATTTGGACTACATTAGACTAAAGTAAGTCAGTTAGAGCACCTTCGATGGTGCTTGTATTGTACAATATATCTATCATCAGTTTACTTGTTTCTGGGGAGAAACGTATATTGACTGTACACAGCATCAAGTCCATAAGCATATTTTGGTCCTAAATATCTGTCTGCAAGAGTCAAATCGAAACCACAAGAATAATTGCTTCCTATGAAATCTTGAGCGGAGTAAGGCAACAATAGTGGAAGCAAAACAAAACTTGGAACACAAAGAATTACAGTTGGATAAACTGGATTACAGAAGACAAATGCAAATATAGTTTTACCAAAACGAGGAAAGTAATATAAGTGCTCCTGTGCGGTTGAGCAACACCAACTGTAAGAAAATAAGACAATAAAAATATGCTTCAATACAAAGACAAAAGCAGAACAGTAAGGTTGGATATAACTTCAAAGATCATGTACGGAGAATCTTTCTACTATTTTCCGTGTCAGTGTCCACTTTACAAGTAAAGAAATAAATAAGAATACTGACCAAAGTGATACTAATGGGATAATCAATAATAATGAAATTAACACAACAATAGGAATTAAGAGCAAAAAAGGATTCAGAGACTGTACATATTTTTTTCCGCACACAAAGATCAGGTTTGAATAGGTGAATCCCAAAAGCATTTGTGATGCACAAGTTGTGAAACTGAGCTTCTTTCAAACTATCTGACTTGGCTTTGTAGACATCTGTAAAAGATGCTTCTGGTAGATCTTTGTAGCCAGAAGTAACTGTTGTTTAAGTATCAGATTATTTGTCGATCTTTAAAGGGAACTATTTTGCCTTTTTCTCAATAAAACACTCAGATAGTTAAACTTGTTTTTCTCTTTAGAATAAAAAATGAACCTAATTTAACTGGTGGCAACTATTAAATTTTTCAAGAATGATCTCTAGACCATTATTTTCATCCCCGTTGATGAATGGATCATTCATATATCTTCTACATAGGTGAAACGGTTCAATCATCAGTTGTTGTCATCAAACAACCTGCCCATAAAGGACCGAGAAGTGACCCCATTGCTGCTCCATAACCTTATCTGTAAAACTCATTGTTGAATGAAAACTGAATTTTGAAGATACACAGCAGGGGGAGTTCTTTTAAATATTATTTCGGAACACCAATATCTAAATTGTTAGCTTCCATAAGACCGCATAAAAACCAGGCAGTTCACGTAAGTGGTAAATTGAGAAAAGGAAAGGTAGTGTAGAGATATCATCTGCTCAACAGACACATATTCATGCCACTAATCAGATCGATGAGGTCGAATGAATTTAAAATATTGTGTCTAATAACTGGCTTCAGGATTTGAATGAATTACTTAGCAATAGCATGGTAGTGGTGAGTTATTCATGTTCAAAATTAGATGTAACGGAAGTTTCTTCTCGTACAGAGAAAGAGGTAATGATTGATTTGAGTAAGTTTTTGTTCAGTTGGTTTCTCTGTGATCTTTTTGAACAGCTTGTTATGCAAATTTATCTTTGTCACACAAGACTGATGATATCATCGTGAAGTACTCTAAATGGTCCATAATGACTACACTAGCAGGACAGGTCAGTAGTAATGCATCTTAATTTCCCAAAGTATGCAGTAATTACTTTTCTTCAAAAAAAATTGTCTGACATGCGGTTTCGTATCAATATTTTGGTTACAACACTTCAACGTAACAGTGGATTTAAATTAGTAATGATGGATAATGGTTAGCAATGAAATCCAGGATGCGTGTTTCGTCTTATTTAGGACTTTTCCGCTGGATTTGTTTGAACCCTAGTGAGTGATGTTATTCCCATTAAGATTCGAACCCAGAAGCGATCACTTTATAACGCTGAGTTATCCACTAAGCTAGAATCACAATAGCCACTGCTGGGGTACCCGCCCAGAAGCCCATCAACCAATAGAGACTGGTCAATTCCGTTCATTCAACGACGGGAAATTACAAGTAACAAAATGGAAAAAAGTATATTTGAACTGTCTAAAATTCAATCTGAAACTGAGTGAAGATGGTACGTCTGAATTATAATTATCAGTGGGCTTTTTTTTGAAGTGATCACTAATTATCACACGTCTTCAGTCAACTGAGTGACTGTTATTATAATAATAATCAGTTACGCTTAGTACTGAAGCACAGGTTTGCAACCCCGTTTACCATTTAAGAGTGTGAAGCACACATCAGACACATAACAAACGGATTATGAGAAAATCCGCAGAAAAAAACTTTTAATGATGTGCAGCAGAAAGATATTAAATGAAACGAAGTGTACTGGGTATCTCAATTACATTCCAAATCTGGTTTCAGCACTAACTTTTATATAGAGACTGATAATAGATAACCATAAATCAACATATCAAGTCATAATCTACAAAATAAGTAGTGCCTAGAAAGATAATTGTGAAGGCAATTCTTTGCGACAGTGTAGACAGCTACGCCTCTCTAGTTACGATACACCACAACATGACACCCTCTCGATAAGAATTATTTCTTCTCATCAAATCACTATAGGCAGGTTGAGATAATGAAGAAAACACCAACTGAGATTTGTGACACATCATTACATACACTTTTGAGTTTAACAGTCCGAAACACATGTCAGAACAATGATTAATCAGAAATACATTACTTAGTAAAAACAAAATTCTCATATAGTGACGCATAAGCAGGTGTGTAGATGTGCATATGTCTAAATGCTGTGCTGTGAATGAATATACAAGCTGGGAGGTGAACAAAGGCAATATGATACGAAGATTGAGTTGCTGTTTTTGGAAAAAGTGAATGCAATAACAATACTGACAAACTTCAACACATACAGTTTATATTATGGATTGATCATGTGTGAATACCAGTGAGTTTAATAAATATATATTACTCTATTTCATCTGAAAAAGTTGAGATAAAATTTGAAATTGCTAGTTTTCATTGTCACTAATCTATGGGTTTTACAGCTTAGTTGGTTAGTATCGGATCAATGGTAACCTGGGGGCCACTGGTTTGAATCCTACAGCGATCCAGATTTTCATTTCACCTTCAACCACTACCCAATGTCAACACTACTTAATAAATAAGTAAATGTAGTCAATTTGTTGGAATTAGTGAGCGTAAACACCGCAGAACTTAACTGCCCTAAAATATACGCTAAGCCTTCAACATGGACAACTGCTTACAATTATGCAGCGAGAAAATACAGTGAAAAGTATACAAAAGTATACTTTGATTGGTCATTGAAGAGCAACTAATTTCATGTTGTCTAGCCACTAAATGCTGATTGAATTCTCTCATTCACTTCGCAATGTGGCGACAAAGCTAGGAGGCTCACTATTGTGGTGCACTTTGATGGATATTAGTCAGTTGGAAGCAATCAGCAGAAAGCCATGGTCACTCGAGAGCAATCAACCAATATTTCTAATCCAGTCCTACACAGGAGGCGAATCATAGTTCGAATAGCTCAGTTGTAACGTTGCTAACTACAACACCGGGTGACGTCACAGTTTCAACATATACCTTGCTGATGGGTGCAAACAAGTAAGAAATAGACCCAGGGCTTCCTGCCATTTGCCTCCATCCAACTAGCACCAAATGTTTAGTTCATTCTGACATGGTGGGATTTATACACTCGATGACATTTCACTGGTACCATATAATATTCGGCATCTGTTAAGTAGAAAAAGATAGCTGAATAACCTCAGCTACTGGATAAACCAGTAGGAAGCGTAAACTATAAGCACTGCAAACAAGTAATTGAAATCTAAGTAGTATTTGGATAACGCAATAAGAAAAGTATTTGCAGAATCAGATGATGTCACAGTGTTATATGCTTGATGAAACCAGGAAAAGTTGAGTGGTTTTCAAACTATCCGAATGAAAGACGTGAATAACTCAAGATACAAAATCACAAATAGTGATTGATTAAGAATTCTTGCTTAGAATTACCAATAGGAATCAAGGTAAGGATACATTGAAAGAAAAAAGACTGATATACTACTCAGCTAAAAATCGATCCACTTAAACCAAGTTTTCATAATATCCAAGATATTATGGTTCATAATTTTTACGGTTTTCCAACTTTACCACTGTTAAGGTAACCATGAAACAGAATAGAAAACATTAAGCGGATACATATATGTCCTATATAATAGGAAGACCACATTTACCGAGCATTCATAATGCCATTTGACGATTTTTCTTTTTACTTAATTCCATAGGATTGGTTCATAGTTATGAGGAAATTCTTAGTTTAATCATATATGTACAAGCCATATCACTATGTAATGATGAAGAATATTTATAGCTCA